TGTTGCGAATGCCTCCAGATAGGAAGGCTAAGCAACTGTTCCTTGCAAATCCGACCGGCAAAAGGCCCAGAGGACGGCAAGATTAACCTGGTTCAAACATATGGAAGGAGTTTGTTGCAGATTCCACCTGTCTTTTGTCGAAGCTCAGACTCTAGCACAGGATCGGGAACGTTGGAAGCTCTGTCTGACGTGTCTGCCTCCGCGACCCGAAAGGAGAAGCGGCGATGGACGATGATGATGAAGATAATCTTATATCGTAGAATAAGTTACTTTAAATGAATATGTAATACAAACAGTGTCAATAATATTCTAAATTATAATCCTCACTTAACTGCCCATTATCATGAAAGTATTGTTCGAAAGTTACAAAGAATACTTAGCAATAAAAACACAGGAAAACATTATATGTAAAAGCTGTGATAATCTTATTGCATTATTAAACAGTTTAAGAATAGCAACAATCTGTGCTGGTTTTACAAATTTCCAAGTACCTTCGGCAGATACTGCAATGTAGAATCACTGAACACCGTCACCTAAAGAACAAAGATCCACTTGCCAAGCTGAAAAAATGGATGATTTGGACGAGCGTAAGCGATATACGGCCACGAAGCACTCTGGAAGAAGGCAAAGCCTTGCCTTCAACAAAGTCAAGGAACAATGCAGAAAATGTTTCCGGGATTGTCGCAGGTGTGACATCAAGGGAATGCCCCTAATTATTATAGAAACACTGTTTGAACAGGAGCGTCGGGGATGAATTTATCACCCAGTCTTACGACAGCATAAACTTTGACAAAAAACATTAATTTAGCGCAGATTGGAAATGTTTTTTCTCTTATGTTGCCAAAAAACATTTAAGTGGTCGCACTGACCAACAGCTGACCTTCTAGTTTCGAAATTAAAAACATCTACGAATGACAATGAGGATTTTCAAATCTCATCTGCCTCTTTAACTTGCAGAGTGCCCGTGGAACACTGGCCCAGATGTAACTAAGCATGCATCCGATTTGTCATATATATATATTTTACGTTAAGGATAAATTAACGTTGCTTCCTGCTGTTTCTCAAAGCGCAATATGATGAATAAATTAAAATCGATTACGGTGTTATTCGAAAGTACTGTTTCGATCGGCAGGTTAAATTTTGTTGGACTCGGTACTGTTCAGCGCGGCAACAATAGTGTTGCTTGAATTGCTAGGAAAGTTGAGAAGAACATGGTGTTAACAGATAACGAGGAAAGTAATGGCAATCCGCTGTGCACCGAGGAAATTCAGGAAAAAGGAGCAAATGGAAATTCATCATCAGGGTAAATGAATCTGTTTTTATAGTTGCACTTTGATTAGCGTTTCGTGACCTTCGGTGTCACAGCGTCATGCAATATAATATTGGGAATCCAAAGAATTAGAATTTTGTGTTATTGGATGTACATCAGAAAAGAATTAGCGAATTCTTCGAGTATCAAGCAAGATGTTAATGTCTGATTATTTCAGCTTTGGTGTGACGTTTTCGTAGAATATTATTTTCATATGCTGTCTGAGATTTCACGTCGCCGATTTTGGTACATTTTCTGCAGCCTTTTGGCATTTTATATTCGCTTTCCAAGATTTTATCTCAAACATACTGACATATGAAATGCAGCAGTTTAGCGGCAAAACTGTTTGCTTGGAACTGCTGCAGATCTGTCATGGTTCGAATCCGGGGAAGGGACAATGTTTGTCTTAACCTCGAATTGCGGTGAGAAAACCATTTATTTAGCGTTGCTTTGGTATAACCTGCCGACAGATGGGTAGCAGTTCGTTGATTGGCGAACAACAGATGAAGCATGCTGTACTGGCTTGGTCTTGTCAGAAAGGGTGAGGATCACCGCCATGCTGTCTGACGCGAATGCCTCATGGTACTGCATTTGACCTTGATCCACGTTTTAACTGCGTATTCAATGTGATGATCAGCAGAAAGTGTAGCCCCTGTTGTTCTTCTATATGAAAAATATAAAATTCAAGGAAAATCTCATTAAAATATTAAAATATCGAAAACGAAATCTCGTTTATCATACATAATTTGCTTGAAATTAGTAGTTTCTGCTTTGACTAGGGCAAAGCAGTGTTACGTTTTAAACTAATAGATATTGTCATTCATGTATTTTTATTTGTCATTTAAAATTCGGCACTTGAAGCCGAACTAAGGTTCACAAGATGAGGAATATTATTCAGCTTCTAGATCGTTCATCTTCATCTAGATGCAGTTGCTTTCGTTTGAAAATTCGTTTTCTTACCGATAATCATGATTTGGTTTCGATTGTTATGATGCGGCCATTTATGCTACATGTCTCTGTACGTTTCTGCTGAGATCGGATGGAGAGCGTACGTCTGATGCTTGCAGTTGACGATCATAAACAGGGGGTTGGTAAAAGTGTCATGTAAAATTTAAAATCAGTTGTTTCATGCAGTTAAGAAATACCCGGGGTAGTTTGACTCTGAAGGACATTTGTTGTGATTGGAGAAATATATAGATTCATTTTTTCGGGTATTTGAGATGCTTCGCACTATTTTACATACATTAGTTTTTCATAGATTATATTTCGATTACACCTGGTTATACTCTTGAGTTTGTTATTTATTTTGGTTAAATTAACTTATATCATTTTTTATAAACCCCAGTTTATATGTCTTATTACCTACTTCGCCAGCATAAACGCCGATGGATATTGCTACGTACGGAGTTCTACAGTGATCATGTTCTTACATGTGCTGCACGAAGGTAAGCATTTGGAATGTTGTAACTGGACTTTTCTGCTGTATTGTGTTTTTATATTTTTGTAAGGATATTAGTAGTTTAAAAGGTTAAGATTTTATTAAGTTTTTATTCAAACTTGGTTATGCTGTAATTGTAAAAGCCTGTCAATTCTTTTTTTATTTTCTGTCATCGTGTATATTGTTTACTTACGATTAATTTTGTGACTTTTTCTATTTTTACTTTTTATACAGGATCATGGCCGAAGAAGCAAAGGAACTTTTTCTGCAAGGAAAGCGCAACCTGCTTTGTGGTAACATCGACGAAGCGGTTGAATGCCTTGGAGCCTGTTGCGTTAATTTGTGAGTGTTTACTGTTTGAACTTATACACTTTCGGTGCTATTTGCCAGTACTGTAGTACCGAGCTGTATGGAGAGTTTGATGTTCGATGTGCTGAACCTTTGCTTACATATGGCAGAGCTCTGCTAGAGGCTTCACGGAGAGAACCATGTTTGAAGGAAGGTAAATTTTCGACAGGCTCTTTTGTTTCACATATATATATTTTTGCTTAAGAAGCCGTGATAAATGGAGATCATAATAACGTTGCTGTAGCGGATTCGGTAGATCCTCAAGGTATGCATTTTTTAAGTGATATATATTTATTGCTAAGTTGAAAAAGTACCTTTAGCAGGCTGTTTTTTCAGCTTGAATTATCTTCGAAGTGTACTTCCTTTTGGTATAGGAGTTTGTCAGTCAGCGGTTATGAAGCGGATTTTCTCATTCAGTTGAAAGTCGAGTTTTTATCAGAAGGTTCAGTACCCGGTCCATCCTCGCTTTTCGTCCTTTTATGATGGCTAAATGAGCATCGCTTCACAGGAAGAGGCTAGGAACTACATGTTAAACTTTCTTCATTGCTGTTAGGAACTCCTGCCTGGTGGTATGGAAACTAAGATGAAGATCAGTGCCGCATCATAACGTCTATAATAAAAAATAAAAGGTTTGTAACCGTTGAAATGTTGGTCTCTTTTATTCTTTAATGGTCATTTGCGGCACGCCAAAAGAAGTTTATGATGCGGCGCTGATCTCCGTTTCTGTGCTATGCCCGTTTTAAAGTGAATTTACAGCTGCGAGGCATAACTTATAAAATCATGATTTGTTCTCACAGAATGGTAGTAGCTTATTTAGTTCTGAAGGAAGAATGGCTAGTGACCCTACCGGGGCTCAAATCCGGGACATCTAAAGTTCGAGTCCGACGTTCTACTGATTGAGCATCCCGGCCTTTAGAGTTGGGCGTCAGAGTAAACGGTATTGAGTCGAGACCTTTCAACGTTGGCAGTAATATTCGCCAAAGGTACGTTCTGCCGCGTCTCCTGTTTGTGTTGTACGTGGATAGGACAGTCAAGCGCAGCTGGGTTGAAGAGTGTTTTCGAATATTAGATGAGTGCAACAAATCGATTCTAGTTATGAAACTGTAAAGATGGGCATCCTTGTAGCTCCGAACCTTTCTTTCCTTGTTCTGTAACCACTCAGTTCATTTCGTTTGACTCGGCTAAATAGAGTAATTTGTTTGTCAGAGTTTTAGCTCTTTGATGGCATCCAGCCAAGCAAAATTTGACATTTCTACGATGGTCACTGAATTGCCACAAGCGATCACCGCAGGGGTACTGATATTGAAATTAGAAATTGGACAGCTGATTGCAGTCAGCGTTTCCTTCCTCCACAGCTTTAGTCATCATCTTCCATGGCCGCTTCTCGTTTCGGGTCACAGACAGTTTTTTCTCTTAACTTTTAAAAAATTCTTAAGTTTTTGTTTTTGTTTGTAAGGAAACATGATTTACGTGCCATCAGCCGTAACAGTAACATTTTACATATTTTAGAAAATGTACCTCAAGGTCCTGAAACTGTCCAAAATGACAGCGACAAGGAAGAAAATGCGTTAGAAAGGACGACCGTCGACAAGCCAAATGAAGATACGAAAGTGGATGGTCCTGTGACAGGTGCGATTTAATGGAATTTCATAACAACTTTTGTTTGAAGCACATTGGAATATGATCATTTTAGACAAGCTCTAGTCTCAAATAATAATTTTGAGAACTAGCAATTTTCTCTTACTACCGTATTTACACAACATACAGTCATCGTCATCGTCCGCTTGCTTCTATCGGCCCAGGGGACCATTTTAGCAGGCCATGGCTCCATGGTATTTGAGCACCTGCAGGCATGAATGCAAAAGCGCGTCACTGGGCAGAGGCGAACAAAATCCTTTTAGGATGCCTACCGATATGCAACTATCTGTACGTATATTTATACATCAAAATTAACCCTGATCCTATCGGTTTACCGGCATTATGCTAGTTTTTGATACGGCCGTTAAGAAAAATAGCATTTTTCTTTTACTGCCAAAGTCACACACACGGCGTAGAGGTACTCCTCTTGCATCCATAATACTGCAAGTGCTCAAATACCATGAAGCCATGACCTGCATAAATGGTTCTCTAATTCCCTGAACAGGGAGCGTTACCTCTGCGCCGTGTAAATCCGGAGCGTCGATGATATAATCTTCATTTTACCACTGACGTCTTAGCTCAAATCACATTGGTTATCTTCAAACCAGATGTCTGGTTGAACGGGGAATTATGGTTGATCGAAACCTTAACAATAAAACAGTTTACGTAAATGTGGAAAAGAATGCCTTGATGTTATATTGGCAGATTCCAAGCATATCAGCTTTCTATTAAATTTGTCTAGTGAATACAACCCTTTAGCTACTGATACTCGATTTACGCGGCGAAGATGGTAAAGTGACTTATTTTACGATTATACTATGGTAGTGTAAACTGGATGAAGGTTATTACACAAGTTGTACCGCAGTAGTGCACCCTCCCTTCCCGCTAGACCTTTAAGGGGGGCTATTTAAGCAGGCCACGGCTGCGTGGTATTTGACAGTTTAAATCAGTTTTCTGGTTGTGTCTGTAATCACTAATCACGGAATCCATAACATTTAAGATGAATAAAAAGACAAGTTCCAGAAGTATGTTTTCAAGATTTATTTTGACTGTTTGTTCACCGATGTTAGTGCGATAAATCTCTGGTTTCTTTCTTCGTGCTTCGTCCAGTTGAAACACCTGCCTATCTTTTGTAGCTGACTATTGCTGTCTTGCTTTGGGTACTGTTTCTTTAGCATAAGCCTTGAATGTAGATGTTTGGTCACAGTAACTGGCAGGGTGGCAGTTGCACAGGCCAGCACGAGATCTTCAACTATTCAGTGAGTTGAAGGTGTTACGTTGTGTTTGTACGTATGATATATATTCTCACTTGGCAGAATGCAATTACGACCTTTGCAGATGATGGTTTTGGTTTAAACCAATAGTGCCATGGAGAACACTTCATTCAACTCTTGCTTCTAAATATACGACAAAGTCTCGTCACTTCTTTGCTTAAAGATTCCTATAGAGCTATTTATGCAGGACATGTGTCAGAGCATAAGAACATGGGAAAATTTAGTTCGAGCTATATATACGCCTGGCAATTGTGGAACCAACGGGAATTCTTCTTACCCGTAAATGTAATAAATTATTATTTTTAATTTAAAAAGAACTGTGCAGATCACATGTGGTTGGTTCGTCTTTCTGGATGTCTAAACATTTCATCGTAACATCTTAACATTTAACAATCAGTCGAGTAGCGGTAGTTGTCTAACTTACATTCCAACGTGCCCAATGTTGTCCGTAACGGTAGCTGAAATTATGTCGCTAACTGATCATTTCTTTGAGAAAGGTACCACTACCTCTATTTGTTCCAGCACGACTAGACTGTAAACATAAAGCAAATCGCTCGGAAACAAGGAAATCGTTTGATACTTTTGTGTGGTTGAAGCTTGCAACCATCCTGTTGAGTGAACGCCTTTTGCGACTCCTTATTGGGTAATCTTTCAACGTGCCATTTAAATACGTGGGATTTAGAGTAACGTCCCCTTTTGCGTTCTCTAGATTGGTTCATTTATCAGCCTGTTTAGTTTTTTGTCCGTCACAGTTTTATTAATGATATACTGATCTCATTTTAGTGGAACCGGAAAAAGTCGAAGGCGATGACATTCCAACCGCCGACGTTCTGGAAGACAATAAAACTGTTAAAGTTTGTGATTTAGATAATGCTGCTGACGAGGGTGAGAAATTATTTATTTATAACGCTGAATGCGAAGTTGTTCTTTGTTCAGTAGTTGCATGTTATTATGCACCCGTACAGCGTTTTCTTAGAAGATAAATAGCGACATTGACCCCAATCAATTTTTTCTGCAGATTTTCGTAAATGAGAAGGCTATACCTCTGGACAGCCGGCTTTTCAGGGTTTCCTTTTGCTCGCTTTACGCATTATTAACACGAAGTTGAATACGATGCTCATATCATATATTTAATTCAGTTCAGTCTTATCTGAGTGGTTTTAGAGATACGTGGCATATACTCCTGTTTTACACCATATTATTGTGATTGCATGTGTTCGTCTGACATGAACGTTGAATAATTCTACCATATATCTAGTTTAGCGCTATTACTGTATTAGTAGCAATGCACTAAGAGTTCTTTAATATTAGTTATACTTAAAATATCATTTTTCTTGACTTTCATTGCGTGTTAGAATTTTGTACTACTGACGCATTAATAATAGCGGTATTGCCATTAGTAGGACTACCAGCGGTACTGTAATAATAATATTCTCTAGTTATACTATTTTTCTATTGTAACAGCGTGATCCAGCCTCCCCTTGCTTCTAGAGGTACATGGGACTTTCAGCGGGTAATGGCTGCATGATATTGTAATGTGTAGTTTATCGATTCTACAATGCAGCCACGTTTTGAGCCGAACAGAAGCATGCAAAATAGTGCGATTGTTCTCATTGTGCTTAGCGGTTTCTTAGTACTTTTGATGTTGCAGTTACTAACTAATTCTCTGTGTTCACCGTGTTGTTGATTCTAAGCATCAGTTGTAACGCTGCCCACGGAGTTGCAGATAGCACCCTTCCAGATTAGGCTAAAATGAACTTTAAATTTGTAAGAAATAGGCCTTGGAGCCCAGCAAGGTTTTTCAGAGCCGTATACCCAAACTTTTCCTCGTCG